ACGAAATAGGAAAGTAGCAAAAGAACTTAGAGAACAAAAAACTTAGGCGCACTGCGACGTATACGTAATTGAGTCTCTGAGTAGCCTTTGCCAGTACGAGTACTGAATATAGTGACTGAATATAGTGCGGCATTTGCTTTGGCCTGAAAGAAACTCAATGTAGTTCAGTCGATTTGGTTAATATGTAGCATCTTCCATATTTGCATATTGTGTGGATTATATATGAGTAATTACACTATATTTGTGTATGTGTGTCTGTATGCGTCGATGAGTGTGTCGAATTGCATTATTTTTGCATAGAAGAAGAGGCTCAATGGCTCATCACTTATCTTAATGAACTGCGGCGCCCATAAAAGATTTTATAACTCATAAACTAAATGCGAACCTTTCACTTTCTTTGTAAGGCAGTTCTTCTCTCTATATTTCTTATATTTCTTATATTCTTCTTTCATTTCTTTCATTTGTGTTCATTGTTCATTTTTTTAATTAATTACAGGGTGTGTAACACACTCAATTGTGCAGAGCACTTAGTTAACTATTTAATTGAAACAATTTAGTCTGTGACGTCTGCAGCGCACGTACTTTCGTCACAAATACGTCTTCTGAGATGCAAACGAAAATAAATGTTTAAATATAGCAATTGCAGATGTTTTCGATGAATGTTTTCAAATCGCTTAGAAAGGGAAGTTTTGTGGTACGAGTATATAAAATAATTAATATATTTGAATAAGAATAATATTCATTTATATCAAACATTTCTCTTTCTGCTTATTGTATTGCAACTTTAGATGCCGTCAGTTGAGTAGAAAGTGTATCTGCGTTGGCATTTCATCATAGTTCGCTTTCCTTAATTTACTTCTACGATAAATTTAGCAGTCAGTAACTGCGCAAACATCATAAATCTGCCATCCACATTGTCATGGCTAACTGGCAATGAATATTTCAAGAATTTCATCAATTACGAATCAATTGAGTTCAAATTGAAACTAAAAATGAAAAGTATTGAACTGTTGCGTTTGTATACGATTGCAATAAAGCAATCGCTTGCTTAAAGAGACTAGACAATCGAAGTGACAGACCCACAGACCGACGCACACCATCAAAGGCATTGATACGCTATTATAGCGCCGGCTACTATATATGCATTTCGGTTCTGATTATTTTAGTTTATATATATCCGTATGTAGTCTCTTTGATTTTCTCGTGACGCAAACATTCATCATGTCTGTAATTTGAAAAAGATGTGCTATTGCTTATTTATGCAGTATAGGAAGACTTTGCTTACAATGGAATATATAAATAATAATTTCGGATCAAAAAATTTTCCCATAAAAGTAATCTGCTCTCTTAATTGAGAATGATGACAAAATTATACAATATGATAATAAAGAAATAAGTTATTACTAAAAACACAAAGAAATATAATAGAAATAACTCTTTTCTTCAATATAGTCTTCTTCCAGCTCAATATATACTATACAGAGTTAGCTATATTAGATAGATCAACTTAATAGAATAATATGAAACCCAAAACAGTGTTTGCTGTTGAAATTAAAAATCATTTAAACTAGTTTATAGAGATTTGGTCACAACACAACATGAAGTTTATATAGCGCAAGTGACCACCCTTAGCTCGAATGGTGTAATGCATTTTTCAGCACCTTCGATCGTATTTGCTTTGGTTGTGATTTTTAGGCTACTATAGTTTATAGTAATATTATAGATGTTAACATTAATTTTGCATAGTGTCCTTGACTTATTTAAAAAAGACTTTGACTATAAGTAACTCTAGTTGAAAATATCTGGAAGTCAAACGCATCGTGTTTTGATATCAAGCGACCAAGAAACAATGGCTTTACTTAAATCAATTGCTGCGCAGACTGTATATTGTGATGCGCCATCTTGTTAAAATCAATCGATATAAAAAATTGAAAATTATAGCCCTATAAAGCACCTGATTGGCGGTTGTTCTTTTCCAATGACGACTTCAAAGAAGTATGTTCCAGTGATTATATCATTTCATATTCCATACCACACATTCACTTTTGGTAGAAAAAAAATGTTTTTTCGATCATTTGAGTTTTGTATGCCGAAGAAATAACAATTTTATTTATTTACGGTTCTGTTTAACATGAAATGGGCCTCATAATGATTGTATGCGCTACAACCAAGGGGGACGTCCTAATACTGACATTTCAGAAACGTGCCGTTATTAGTCATTTACACCTTTCTTATCAAAATTACAGTGTTGCCAGATAGTTCCATATAATATGACCTATCCTGTCTACAATTTTTTGAAGCCATCTTAATAATATGATAACCACCCCATTAAAATAAACTCCAGCAAATCCAGCGCTGCTTATTGTAAACCATTTTCATACAAACATTTTTTCCAGAAAATAAAGTACAAAATATTAGATGTTTCAATAATGTTCTTAAAATAGTTCAAAGTTACAGTTATATATATTTATATGTTTTGCGCTACTAACTATAATACTCTTATTTAAGTAATCCCCTATTCTATGAAACTCTGTAGTAGTTTCCCGAAATATCTTCGATAAAAATTTCTCTCTACGAATTAATTTTTTTGAGGAACCTGAACTCAAATCTAACTATTGTAAATATATCGAATATGATGATTGTTGCAACGATTTGTACTTTGGGTACTTTTCTCATCACAAAACACCGGGTTCACATCACTATTTTATATCTTGTTTTGCTTTTTAAGCTGTTGAAATCTAACGAAAAATGATATATCGACACCCAAAATTCTTTTCAGCGTTTCTAAAAGGCTTCTAATGTTAATGGCAAAACCGCATTTAATTGTGGTCTGTTGCATCGTTACTTTATCACCTTTTTACAACCCAAAGCAGGGCACTGTTCGCTGTATCTTATAAAACACAATAAACCACTGTTTGTGTGTTTCTGGTATTGACTAAATTTTTGGACGTCATTTAAATGGATCGTTTTCTTTTAACTCATTGTTACTGTTATCAAGTATCAAAATCAGAGAACACAATTAATTCTAGTATAAATTCTTTTAATATCTTAACCTTTCTAACAAAGATATAATCACTGTACGAATTTCATTTATTAATTTTATTCACTCATTTTGCGTATATAGTAAGTAGCAAGAACCCAACGTTGAAAGATCTTTAAAAATTAATTTACTGATTTTAAATTCAAATGATTTTAAACAAGGGCTCTCTAATAACCAACCATGGAACGAACGAACGAACATGGCATGGCACCCTTTTGCTCTATAAGTTTCTCATACCCAATAATTTGTGTACGATAAAAATCTCTCACCCATTTTCACATTTTGATCCTTGATAACTAAATTGTAAAATTTATCAATGATCATCAGTACATAATTTCTGGAATGGTTAGATATCCGAACGATATAATATCATCGTATCATGATTACAAAAATAAGTGAAAAATTGAAATAAGAAAATAATATAGTAAATTTTTGTTTGAATTATAATCAAAATAATAGTCTGTGAAAAATGTTACATAATAAATTAATTAAATTAGGTTGGGTAAGAACTACTCGGCGTGTCAAAAACAATTACAATAATCATAATATTAACAATTTTTTGATCAGTTTTTGCTATTTCTGTGTTGAACCATTATTGTGAACCATTATTCTTTTATTTTAGAATATTGCTCTTATAATTGAAAAACTGATAAAAACTTTTTTTTCAACATTCCTTTGATGCCAAAGATATGTCATCCGAGAGATAATATAATTCCAACAGGAAGAAAGAGAAATCGATGATTAAGAGCAATAGAATTGAACTTAATCATCGGAATCAAAATTTCGACAATCCCTTAATCCTAAACTGCTCAATTTAACTCAATTTAATATTTATGTCAGATTTATATTCCTTCAACTACTTCCATTTTTTAAGGTTAACTTAAAAACTTTTTGTTAATTTCACAAAATAATAAAATAATATTTTAGAAATATTATTAGAAAACTATAAATATTTGATACCTTAAAATATTATCAATCTAATTTAAATATTTTGTGTTACTTAGATGTTTTTTTAATTTGTACAAGTATTCTGATTATTTCAATTAAAATCACATCGAAATAAAAATATTAAAATTTTTCATTCTATTTATTCTATTGACTATTAGCGATATTCATGGACAAGCCAATGAATACATAAACACATATGTTACCCTAAGTGCTTCGGACACACGAAACGCTTTTAAATGACTAATTCATATGCAATGACCACCTCGGATTCATTGAGAGCTCGAAACACCAAAAATTTGTGGCGAATGTGCCAACACTCATCGATTCGTATGCGTTAAAATTTCACATGTGACTACCGCGACTCTTCATGACATTCCCATCTAATGAATTCTCTTCTCGAACCAAATAAATATCAAACCAATAAATCCAAAAATATCGAACACTGAAAGCGGAGACAGAAATTCTTTCCATTTGATGATGCTTTAAATTCATGCACGTCAATACCCGACCCGCGGATGAAAAAAGTAAAGCAAACACCACAGACAGACTGCAATGAGTTGAAGGGAATTTTACATAAATCCATCGTAAACGTACTACACATAGACGAATGCAACAGTTTTGTACGAATTTAATTTGCAGTCAATAGTGGAATTTTTGTATTTTTCAATCTTCCAATAAACGCATTGGCAATTTCATAGCTTTTAAGCGTAACCCCGATTTTCACAATAAATTTGCAATTTAGTGTAACGATTCTAATTAAAATATGCAGACGAAGAAGAAGAATGAAAATACGTACAAATCTAAAATTGAAATTGGAATAGAAACTGTTTCTCTACTTATCTACGGTATCTACGGTACTAGCTGCACTGAGTATCACAGGCCACAATGTACTTTGTCCAATTCACAGCCGGCTGAGAATATTTTTTATGGGTCACGCCGCACATAATTATTATGTGTACAACTATCCGAATCAAGAGTCATTGACTAAGACGTCACACATGCTTAAACTTACCTGGACTTGTTTGCCAACTTAATCCTCCAATGAACATTTTCCTAAAAAGAAAATAGTTGTAATCAGTACAAATGGAGCAAAAATTAAACGAAATGTATCTGCTTTTTCTTCTATTCAGTACACATAAATATAACATATAAAATATACTTGAGTGAGGCAACACCCACAAAACTAGTCAGCTCCGTGACTGTTGGGGGGTGGGTGACTACTTTAGGCCCCCGTTTGACATCGTAACATTTCCTGAACAAAACATAACTGCATATGCATTGTACATAGCACATATATTTGTATGGAAACACAGTTTTATATAACCTACAAAGAGTTTCTAGCTGCCGCCTTGCCACAGCCACAGCCATTGCAATCGCAAATGAAAATGCAATGAAAAGAGCAGCATTAAGCGCGGCACTGCACAATCAAATCGACACACTTTTACCATTCACACACGCTCGCATGCTAAGCCAGTAAATGTCTACTGACTAGGCTGACTAGGCTGACTAGGCTGACTAGGCAGCGGCAAAGAGTGCAACGTTGGCGGCGGCTATGCTACCGGTAGCGATAATAGCGGGTGGATGATCTATTATTATCATTATCATCAACGAAGTAAGCGGCTTTCCAGCATTGTTTCCAAGCTGGAATCTTCTTTCCATTGTGTTTGCGGGTTTAGGCTGTAGCGGATTTACAAATACTCAACGTAGTCGTTTGCATTATTCACATTCGCACAAAGGGAATCTACAAACACGAAACTAAATGTACAATCAAACAAGTATAAGAACAACAATAACAATAAAAACATCAACAAATTGCATAGCAAGCATTGCTAAGCTCAACGAAACAAAGCAAACTAAATGAACAAAACAAAAAATAAACACAAAAATAAAATAAAATTAAAAAAAAAAAATAAAATAAAAAAGAGCAAAGACAACACAAAAAGATACTCGTACATAAAAATTAAGATACAAATGACGAGAAAAAAGTATATCAACTTGCGAGCGACAGTAACGGGTTCAAAGTCTGCTAATGCAGCTCTTCAATTGAAAAGCAAAAAACAACAACAACAACTATATCAACAACAACAATAACAGCTACAACAAAAGTTACAATTCCGAAATGAAAAATTAAACAAATTATTTTGTTATAAACGAGCTTTAAGAAGCGGAGATAATAGAAAAATCGGTAAGGTCTAAATTGAGGTACTTTAAGTATCATAAATTTTAGCTGTACAGATACAAAGCAGATAAAGAGCATTTGTAGATGCATTATAAAACATTTCAAAAGCCTGCAAAGACCTCTCTCAAAAGAGTTTTCAATATCATTTACTGAAGTAATTACGATCCTACAATCAAACACGCAATCAGTCACGAAATAATCAGCTTCATTACACTCAAGCAAGCTGTCAGTGCTCAACCTAGGTTAAATATATAAATTGTATATTAAAAAAAAAACAAAATACTAAGTATTAACTTATCACGTTAAAATAACGAAAAAAAGTATTAGTTGACACACCAAAAAGACAAAAAATTAAATAATTTCAGTTCAGAAATACAACTAGAGTGCTCGTTAACTGCACTAAAATAAGCAAAAAGTTTTATTCACAAAAAACTGCAGAAAATAACTGTTAAAACATTTTAAATCTCTTCATTGGTAACATATTTGTATGAAGATATAGGAATATATAACCGCCTTCCTTCCAACAATTTATTTAACTGCAAAACACTGCAATTAAATTCTTTCCGTATACATTCCTTCCACAATCCTACAATCTACTTATTTTCGTAGATATCTTCCATACTTAAATAGGAAGAATTAAATACCATCCACCTTTTAGTTGCTTTTATAGCCACATATAATAATTAAAGTAGAAAGTTATTATCCGAAACTATGACTTGCTTTAAGACACCACAAATTCACTCGGGATAACGACTATTTCATATTATGTGCAGAATATTTCTTCAGAAGAATTCATGAGGGATATAAGATTCCGTTTAGACAATAAATCCTTAGCTTTCCTTTAACTATCTTCTAGAACAATTATCATAATATCTAAACCAAATACACACTAAATAATCTATTTAATTCAGAGACAATGCTAGCACATCCAGGCGATATAGATATCACTTTTGCACCAACATAAAAAGAAGCTTTCAACAACCTCAAAGATAAGACTAAAACAATGACTATGTGAATAATTGAAAAAAGCGGAACTGTTAAACACAACTATAACCGAGATCTTAATATATTAATTCAGACAAAATTTAATCTTTTGAATATCCGACAGTTATTCCAGAAGTATTGCTGCGCCCTCTATTTCTATGTAGGAACTCAATACGCAAATCTCCCTTCATTCGTGTTGTGAAAATAATATAAATAAAAACATTGTTCTGTCATTATAAATAGATCTATTGTTTATTGAAATATTCTGCTTTCTGATCTATGTACCTTTACTGCGGTCGAACTACGGTGTCATAGCGTTATTTACATTCCCGTTGAGACATACTTACGAAACGTGGTTTGTCTTAAATGTACGCGAATAGAAAGTAGTCACCTACTTGACCTATTATTTGGATGTTTTGAGTGTTTAATAAGTTACTTCTTTTTGATAATGTGATTATCCGTCTTCAGTGATGTATTAATTATAAGATAATTATGGAGAACTAGAAGTTGAACACTTCTGGCAAACACATGATAGTGTTTCATTTATGATTGAGCACTAAACGTTGCTCTAATGGGATTGTTGTCACTACATTTAAATTTCGGAAAAATAAGCAACTATTTACTACTAAGTTTTTCAAGGTTCGAGCATGCAATCGACTCTTCTTTAATGAAGAAGACTTGTTCATGACTTGTCATATGTCGATATATTAAACACAAGTTTTGAACCATTGTTATTGTATTTCTTAAGCATTTAATTGTCCAAATCGATTCAAGCACCATTTTGTGATTTTTTAACGAAATTTTTTATTCTTATTCAGAACTAAATGATCATGCAATAAATTCAATAATGTCATTCATTTTATTTCATAACATTGCATGGTATACGCCAGTACACATGAGTTGTAAATTAATTAAAAAAACATTCTAAAAATCATCTAAAGAACATGAACCTAATCCTTCCCGGTAGACGGCAAAATATTCATCTCCTTTAAAAACCTTTCCAATCCACTTTTTAAATATACTTTGGTTTTCAGATCTTATTTACGGTTTCATATTTTATCGACAATTATTGGTCTTTGCAACAACGTCCCATTCTTTTGTTTAGATAAACAAAGTAGTTTAATAATCAGTGCACTAATCTATAAATTGTTGCATATTAAATCGAAAATATCTAAAATCTTAATTAATCTAAAACTAATATCTAAAATATAATTTATAAATGCGTATATAAGAAAAGCAATATTATAATTTTACTTATAGGGAACAAAACTCCGACAATATCCTAGCCACATAAGTTTTTAAGACTATTAGTGTCTTTTAATATATCATCTTTTATTAATTATTATTAAATTGAAAAAAATAATTATATTTTAATGACATTACAATTTAAAATTTTTTGTTTTTGAAAATTAATATAAACTACATATATGATTTGCAGGAGCAGCCACATCGATGATGAGGCCGAATCCTTTTTGTAGACTAGGACATAGTACGCTCCTTTCTCTCATAAAAATTTAGGAGAACCAAAATAAAACGGATAACTGTGATGATAAACCAGGAATAACACAATCCAAATCACTTATCAGCAGCACCTTACGGATATACTTACGTATATTCTTATGGAAGAAGCAATAAAACTCTGTAAAGTAGGTTCTATACAACTTTTCATTGACTCAGAAGGAGGCACAATAGTCTCGACGGTCGCAGTGCCATATCCCCTAACAATAATAATAATGATTTGCATAAAAATATACTCAAAAAAAGTTATTAGTAAACCGATCCGATTTTGGTATTGGTATGGTAATGGTGATGGTGTTTGGAGGTTTTGGGTTAGGCTAAGGCCCCTATGCACTGTGACCATTGTGATCTATTGTGCACCCCTTTGTATTTAGATATTTAGTACCCCGAAGAATCGAATCAGCTCCTTCGGAGGGACTTTTCGAAGGTCTTCATCCTCTAGTTAGTATACACCTCAAATTTTGTTTCTTCTGTGGCCTAGTGCATCACAGTTGGTGATCAGATATTCCATAGACTCTTCCTCATCGCAGCAGAATCTGCAAATATTAGTCTCGGATATACCTATTTTGTGTAGGTGTTTGTTACATGCGGTGTGGCCTGTTAGTGCACCAGAGAGTGAATTTAGAATTTAGAATTATTTAGATTGAGAGCGGTGTTTGCTCTTTTGGCATCAAAATTTAAGAATTTTTTGGAATAATATAGGCCGTCTATTCCATTCCAGTATTCATTGATACTTTGTTGGAACCATTTCAGATTTTAAAATGATAACTGATTCGTTAGGAAAAAAATATATTTTGCAAGGGTCCTATCGAAAATCAAAGGTCCTATTGAAATAAAATTTCGATTAATAACAGTAAGTACTTTTCATATGGTATATCTTAGACTATAAGATAGTCTAAGATAAATCGTCTTAAATACGAAATTGGAGGAAGATACTTTAACATAAGAATAACAGTTGTAACTTACTTAAACTACAATGAATACATTTCGTTGCCGTTTTTTGTGCAACTGCCAAAGGAATTGCATAACTCATACGCACCATACAAATTTTCGAAAGAGAAAATTACTCATACGCACCAGATGTGCCCAAGCGAGAAATATTCAAGGTAAATTCAATATTTTTCTGCTGCAGAATTCTTCTTCCAATAGCAAGAAAGCAAAGTTTTAATAAAGTAAAATTTTTCATAGATACGTTTTCGTTTATTTATGAGATATTCGTTTCGATTGCTAGATTCCACTCCAACCAATTCAGCCGGTTGGAAGCGTATAAATGCAGATTAAGATTAGCACGTCTGATAACCTAAAGGCTCAATACATAAATGGACAAAGTTATAAAATTTTCGAATCAACAAAAAAAAAAAAATTCTGATAA